TCATCCGTGCATGCATTAAAGATGGCCCCACCATAGGTGCACACCTCACCCGGGGAGCACATTAGAGGTGACTGTATAGTCATGGATTCAGGCAAACCAGCCCTGAAGGTGTGAGCTGACTGCACCCTTGTAGTCTGCCATTCAGTCATATGGGTTACAGCAAGATTGCCCCCAAACTTGCTGCCTATGACAGGCAAGAGAGATAGACCAGGGATCAGGAGAGAAAGAGAACCAGCACTGCTCCATACCAGCTGCAGCACACAGTAGAGCTGGTCCTGTACCATGTCTGGGCAAATCAGTAGAACTGGTCCTAGTGATATGAATGAGGGGGACCTGGATCTGTGGGCCCAAAGAGCAGGTGAAAATTCCCTGCCCCTTGCTGTAGACTGCATTGGTGAGCTAGCCAAGGCAACGCTTGAGAGCTCACATGGGTGGTGAGATGAGAGAAAGTTAGCGAACTGACTAACCCAGCTACCACCCAGGCCCAGATCCAGGACTATTCATTGAACCACTGTATCTAGAGGAGAAACTTACAGTTGCATAACAGCAGGATCTCCATGACACAGGACAACAGCAACAGGAAACCCACGAGGATGTCCTGTAAGTCTGTGTAAGAGCCCATTATCAGTAAAGTAATAGAAGCCAGAGACCTCGAGGCAGACCATTGACACTCAGCAATGAACATTTGCAAGCAAATATCACTGAACTAAAGGATAAATTGCGTGACTCAACATGCCACGCTACAGCTACCATAAGTTTCAGTTTCTTCTTCTTCTTCTTCTTCTTCTTCTTCTTCTTCTTCTTCTTCTTCTTCTTCTTCTTCTTCTTCTTCTTCTTCTTCTTCTTGTCCTTGTCCTTCTGGTTCTTCTTCTCCTTCTCCTTCTTCTGCTCCTCCTCTCCCTCCTCCTCGTCCTCTTCCTGTTTTATTTTAAATTTGGTCTTAATATGGGGAGGAGGTTTCAAGGGCAGAGAGGAGATGTGAACAGATGAGGAGATAGGGGAATTGGAAGGCATGACGTGAAATCCACAAAGAATCAATAAAAGACATTTTTTTAAAAAAGAGAAATACGACTGAAAGTGTAAAAGTGTAAACAAAGTGTGTCTGCTGTTGGGATGCAGTTCCTAGCAATGCTCTGGCAATCAATGACTGTATTTTTTATGTAGGACATATAGTCTCCTGGGGAAAAATGTAAAAACCCCAAGCAATATCACTTTAAAACTATAGAATTTCTTAAAATAATGGAAAGAGTGAAATCTTCCCAAAATCAAGATTAGGACAGATTATGTAGAGGTTGTAGAGCATGAAATGCAGAGGTGGGTTGGAGGAAATTGGTCACTATAGATGTATGTGGACTGAATGATGTCCTTGTTACTGGTCATATCCGTCTATAAGAAATTATCTAGCATATCCCCAAGTAAAATGCTGGAGTTGTAGGTTGCTGGCCAGCCTGGCAGAAAACACATCACTAAAAATAAAGTCTTCATCAAGGGTAGGAGCCATATGTGGCATATTCACTGTTGACGAAGCAGCCTCATTGCAGGGTTTATTCATCATCCCCTTTGTTGAATGGTGGGGTGCTATAAAGAAGTCAACAATAGAACGATGGAGGAAGAGAAGGGAGGAAAACAGTATCTGAGAAAGGGGAGCATGCAGGGTGCTGGGAAACAGAGAGCATATCTCTATTCCCAACTGAACAGTGGAAATCTCAACAGTTGATGCCCAGTCCAGGCATGTCAGGGCTTGGGCCATGGTGGCAAAAGTTGACCCTGTGATTCCAGGATACAGTAGGTAAAGGAGCACATGTGTACGGAATAGTTTAATTCAATTTGATACAAGCTAGTGTAACAGGGAGATAGGCTCCACTGTGAAAATGACTTCATAAGATCCAGCTGGAAGACATTTTACTAATTAGTAATTGATGGGAGAGTGCCTAGCCCATTGTAGGTGATGTCACGTTTGTACTGGTGGTGCTGGAATTTATAGGAAAGCAGGTGGAGCAAGCCAGGAGCAGAGAGCCAGGAAGCAGCCCTGCTCCAAGATCTCTGCATCAGCTCCTGCCAAAAGGATCCTGCCCTCACTGCTTTTGGTGATGAACTGCTGTAAGGAATTGTGGGTACAATAAACCCTTTTCTTTTCAAGTTTCCTTTGGTCATGGTGTTTCATCACAGCAATAGTAACCCTATCTAAGACAGCAGGGAAGGGCAAAGGGCTCACCAAAATGAAACAGGACAAGTAAAGTTCTAGCTTTGCTGTCCATAACAGAAAAAATTTTCACCAAACATAAAAATATTTTGTCAGATTTCCTTCCACACTGGTATCAATAAAGCACTCTCTTGCACAGTCCTGTACAACAGAGTGGAGCTTTCCACCTGATGATGAAGATGGTCAAGAGAAAATCTTAAGTATTGGTAGAAATATCAGTGAGTCAATAAACAAGCAGTTTCAGGGTCTTGGGTGAAAAGTCACTAGTGTGATGACTAAAGCCACCTCTCTAGATTATCAGAGATCCACCCTTAATCTGACACAATTCCCAAGAGGGCAGAGTAGATTTTAGAATCCAAACCCTTCCATCCTTGACAATGTTCCCTACAAGTCCCATGAGGTCCTCCCAGAGACCTATCCAGAAAGATTTTCTTTCTCCTCCTAAAAGGAAGTTTTGTCTGACCTACAGTCAGTGGCTAACAATACCAAAACTTGAGAAGACATTCCCTGCATTCACATAGAAACACATCTTTCTATTTTCTCTGATTTTATCCCCAAGGCTCTAGACAGGGCTTTCTCCTTTAGGACTGTTATCATCCTTGGACATTTCAGGATTTCCATAACTATATTTTACTCACAAATTTCCCCACAAAGCCCAGAAGAACTGAACAGATCACACTTGACACTTGTGGAATCTGAAGGGCAAAGCTAGAGTAAGGGGCTCTTTCAGGCCCCAGCCTCAAGAATCTGATGGAAATTTATAAGAAACAATGGTCAGGGAAGGAGCTGTCCCATGCAGAGTTGACACCTATGGTTAAAGTTCCTTGGGAGAGTAGGGCTTCAAAAAGAGAAAAGTAGAATGTAGTTGTATCAAGGGCTAAAGGGGAACAATGGTATACAGAGTGTTAAATGTTTAGTAGTATGGAAGTTAGAGTAGAGGAGGGAATGTAGAAAGGGAAAATAATGCTGTAATTTAATTGTATTATTTTCACTGCATACATTGTACATCTGTCTATTTTGCTGTGAGTGTATGTTTGCTGTGTGTTTGTGTGTGTGTGTGTATTGTGAAGATTAGAGGACTTGTATAAATCCCTTTTCCCTTTACATCATGGGGGTTCCAGGAACTGAACTGAGGTCATCAGGTTTAGTGACAAATAACTTTATCCACTGTCACACTAATTGTATGATTTTTAACTTGAGAAGAGATAATATGACAGTATGAGTGTATTGGCCACTACATTTGAGTACTAAGTTCAGTCTTCATAACGAACTGAATATGAGAGGGTACTGAATCCCACAGGTTCGGTTTGAAACTCCTTCCACGGGTCATTGCAAGCCAAAAGAGAAACACACACAAAGTAAATAAATTTAAATAACTTTTAATTGAAAGTTAATGTAGACAGAAAACAGAGCTAACAAATTAAACTTTTAAATGTACTCAAGAATGACAGAGTATGAAATATAATATAGTTAGATACACTAAGACTACAAAAGATCTAAGGCATATGATGGAAAGACTAAGAAATAGGATTCATGACAAAGTCAGTAGTAGAATGCTTGCTGGAACTCTTCAGAGACAGGATTCAGTGAACAGTGCTGAAAAACAAGATTATAATGACTTTTAACATGTTTAAGTGTATAAATATTCATATGGAAGTACACATGATAACTTACCAGTGGTTTTAGAACTTTTGAATATATGCCTGAACATATAAACAAAACATGATTTGCAGGGTGTGGGTGGGATTAATAGTCAAGTTTCCTAGGACAACAGAGTCTATATTTTCTAAGGCTAGTATGAAATGTGCTAGAAAAATATGAAAATAAAGATGAAAACAACAACAACCTCAGATATATGTAACTAATAGGGATAAAGCCAAAGTGGGTCATCTTTCCATCCTCAAACAAAATAGGATTGAACACTGTGGAGGTGAAGTGACGTCAGTCCATGTGATGTGCAGTCTCTACCTTGTACTTGGTTGTGTCAAGCATGTGTAAGAGATTCCTCAAACACTGCTCTGTGTGTGTCTGTCACATTCTAGACATGGTTAGAACATGACATCTCTAACCTAATTAAATTATTTAAGCCATTAATGCGTTCAAATTTTGAATAGATTATAAAGGAAGTTGCAGGCTGAATTGGAGAAAGCAAGGACTTTGGCCTTGGCAGGTGTATCCTGTCCTGGTCCCTTCCTACTATGCCCAGCTATGAGTCCTACTTGCCATGAAGTGAGTATCTCTGGTCCAGTATATCCTCCCCTCCACGATGAAAGCCTCTGAAATCATAAACTATATCATTGCTGCATTATATTGTGTTACTCAGGTCACAGAAGTGAGAAATCAGATATCATATATCTTCCCTTCGGTAAGTAGAATAAAGTGAGACGCTGCTACTAGATCTGCCAGAACCTTGACAGAAGAGACGACTAAATCAGAAGCCTCATAAGGGGGCTGTGAGGTCTGTCATACTCACTAGTATAAAACCAGTGTTGATAACAGTATAAGTGAGAGGAATAGAGGAAAGTGTGGCACATATCAGTTAGTGATGGATCGATGAAGACAGGAAAAGAAGGAACCAAGAACCGGAAACATGGAAGCACCTGGGATATGGGGAAGCAGAGAACATCGCTCTGTTCCCAACTGAACGGTTGAAACATCCTCAGGTGATGCTGATTCCAGGCAGGTGTTAGGGACAGGCACCGCAGGGATCATTTGGTTCAGTGTCATAAGAGGTGAGAGCACAGGGGAGCAATAAGGACTCACCTGCAGCAGAACTGGGCAGGGAGGGGCCCAGCTTCTAAATCGTATTACACAGATTTTTGTCATGGCAACATAAAAAATCCAGTTTAATGTTATAATGGATGAAAGTATTATTTAAACACCTGGAAGAACAATCCTGCTGTCCAAACAGCATATCCCGACCTGCAAAAAGAAATAACAAAGGTCAAACATAAATATTTCTGAAATCAGAGTCTCACAAAATGAGGAGACTTACACTCCCTGATGAAATGTTTGCCAGCCACACTCAGGTGACTGTAGTTACCATCTAGCAGACAGTAGTCTGGCATATAGTCATGCCTACCACACCCAAAATTACTGCCTGGAATTTTAGAGTTCAACTGCCTTCATCCCTTAACATGTTTTCCAGAAATCTCTATAGATCATGACGAGAACCCCACATCAAAAACTTTCTTAATTAGGAAAGAATGGTAGTCAACCAGTACCGAACGGAAAGGAGACTTCTCCTGAATTTACACAGGAACACAGAATCACACAGATGTTGTCCCCAGATGTGTAAAAAAGGGCTGATTCATTCCTGAGAAACAGATTCACCCCAATATGCCCCAACCTTGACACACCTGTAGACACTATTAGTCTCTCACACTGTTCACCATCCTTAGCCTCACAGGTGGTTTTCCTTTCTCACATACTCCAGCAGCGTTTAACCATCTACACTTCAAACATGTCAGAGCTGAAAAAGCAAAACAAAGGATTCAGAGCACCCCTGAAGCTTCAGAAAGGAGGATATCCTGTGGGTTCAGTCAATGAATAAGAAGCAATCACCAAGGAAAGAGCTGGATGTATGCTGAGCTGACCTCTAAAGGGTAGCCCACGACCTTGGAACCTAGGAGGGGAATTGAGAAGAGCCAAGTTTGTCTGGTTCAAACGCTGTGAATGGAATGGGATGAGTTGAGGAAGATCAAATATTGAAGAAGTAGCTTGAGCCTACTACCTGTGACAAGACAAGAGCTCCCTTTGCCTCATCATCTTCATCCTGTCAGGAACCTTCCTGGCATCACTTCTAATATGAATTTAGGACTATAAATGGGTAAGCTGGAGGAACTGGGCAGGTTTTTTATCAATAAGGAGATGAATTGCAAGACCAGGAGAAAGCACACAGGAGCAGAGGCATGACAGAGGAGGAGGAATTGGAGACGCCCATCCTGTGTCCAGCAGAGGGAAGGGAAGGACACGGATGTGAGGATATGGAGATGAAGGCTGTGGAGTCCACATAGAAAAGAAGTCAGGTCTTCCATCTTGTTCCTTACCTCCCCAAACCCAGTACCCTTTACCAGTGTGTCTGCCCACCAGCACTGGCCCCTTCCATCTGCCAGGATCTCACCTTGCACGAAGTCCACTACCAAGGAGAGGCCCAGCAGGAGCAGCAGGAAGTGCTTCCCCATGGCAGTGGGATCCCAGGTTAAGAGAGCAGCAGAGAGCAAGACAGAGCACTCAAGGTCTCGTCTCTCCAATGCATGCTTATATCTGAGCTCAGGCTAGAAGAGGAATCCAATGAGATCCCAAGCCAGAGGACTGAGTAGATAGCCTGGGGGTAAGCAAAGGTCCTAAGTGCTTCACTGTGTCTGCTGACTTCTACACCCTCACAGAGTGGTGCAAGCACTTCCAGATTCTTGTCCACATACTTATTTCACTAACTTCCAAATGGAGAATAATAACTGTGATATTCCAAGGGATTTTTAAACTGAGTGTCTGAGGAGTCTAGAGACTGCTACACGCACTAGGCTATGACTCTCCACGTGGAAGGAGATTTTACATTCTCTAGCTTTTGTGAGTGGAATATATGTCTAAGTATATATTCAGTTGCTCAATAAATCAATGAAACCCAAATTGCAGATTCAGTTTCATCTTCCATTTAGACTACAGTTGTCTTCCTGGAGAGTGATAGAAAGAGAAGGAAAACTATGTGGTCATTGAAGGATAGTATGATAGGAAAACAGGCCTTGCATTCTGGATCTGGTTTCCCTGTCCCACTATTGGAGTCAGGAAACTTAAAGCACTACAGATTAATCAGAAATACACAGAGTCTATGTGTGCTGTCTAAAAAAACCTCCCAAACACGTTCAAAGGCAAAAATAAGCTGTGCTTCCTTAGTACCAAAAGGATGTGTAACTTTGAATACCTGCCTTCTCCTGTCATTCCTAAGTAGAAGCAATACCCCATATATGAAACTAATTGTGGAGCTACCACAATCCTTTTTTCACCCATTGTAAAGACAGTGAAGACAGTGTATCAACTCCCTGTCAGACAGTCCTTCAAACCTAGAGATCCCTTTTGCAGACACAAGGTGCACACGTGCCCTCCTCAGTGACACTTGGTATTTTGAGGCCACTACTTCAGGAACAGTAGAGAAACATCTCCCAAAAGTCAGGCATTATCAAACTATTCAAGGGGTTTAATCAAAATTTGATATAGACCTTTTGGTAGCTATTATTAGTTTTCAACCTGACTACTTCTGGAAATAAGTAAATACCAATTGGCTGGGTACACTTGTGAGTGACTTTTCTTAATTGACTCATTTGAAGTGGGAAGGCCTGATGTTATCCTGATCTGATGAGCTGGGAAGACCACCTAGAATCTAGGCCACATCTTCTGTAACAGGCCTATAAAAAGGAAATTAAAGAAGCAAGCCATTGCTCTTAGCCTGCTTGCCCTCACTGTCACTGGGGTGTCCATTCCTTCACTAGCATCACAGTCTACTTCTCTGGGATTCCAGAGTATATTGAAGACCAGATGGGACATCAGACACTATTAACTGAACAACTATGGTATTCCTACACTTTCTGTTAGTAGACAGTAGTTGTTGGACTAGCTGGACCAATCCTGTAAGCCACGCTAATAATTTCCCAGTCTGTAAGTGCTGGCCTAGTAGAGAGCCGTCACTAATACAGATTTTCTGGGTGGCTCTGTCCCTAGGAACAATTTTTAAATTCGTGTGAGTTCTCTTAGCTTCCATAGTCCCTTTGTTCTTGTTTGCCATTCTGTTGTCTCTCTTGAGTTTCTGCTTGCTTCACCTTCTAGATATCCATACCGTTGATACATAATCTTCCTATGCTAACGCAGCTCAAGGATTTAGGCTTACAGCCCTGTGACTATGATGGATCAGTGCCAACCAGAGTCCTCATCTGGAATACAGTATCAGGAAACAATGTGACCATCACTCATCTCATTTTAGAGAAATGTATAGACAAGAAGGCTGAAAGTAAATGGCAAAATGGCCACCAACAATGAGGCTCAGACCTGACTGCTTGGAGCCTGATATGGTGACTTGTGATTCATTGTCTCAAAATTTGGAAATCTAATTCCTAATGTTTCTCCTCAAATAAGCAGACTCAGAAAATACCATATAATGTTATAAAATGTACCACATAAAATAGTGGATACTAACTTATAACTATTCAAATACCATACCTCAGAATTGGCAATTGAAATGAGACCAAGTGACCAATTCTCTCCTCTCCCCTACGCCCTCATAGTCAGGTTCCCCCCTTCTGTGTATATATTTTCTTTTACTTTTGCTAAATTCTCTCTGGTAAAGACTCTCACCATTGAACCTTGCCTCATTGTTTCCAGTACAATAGCAGACATCACATATATCTAAGGACAGATCTTCCATTTGCTACCAACAGATACCTAAAATGCACCATCTCCTCTGAAAGGCAATGACTAACAAGCTGCCAGGGAGACTGGAGTTTCTATATTCTCTTCCAGAGCAAACTCACCAACTGAGTTTGTGGTTTGTGGTTTTCTTCATTCACTATATATCCATCCAAAGGTTTCATTGTCTTTCCACTTCTGAAGTGTGTGTTGTGAAAGCAACTAGCCTAAATGTTGTTTTCTAGAAGAATCAGCTCTCATGAACGCCTTAGAGGCCCAGAAGCAAATTCCTTAATCATAGGGGACATCTCCCAAGATGGGGAACCAGAATCATTCTCTGGATGTGTTCCCTTGTACAAAGGTGTGGCCAGAGAAAAGATCACAGATCCCACTGGGATGGGGAAAACATTGGTCCCACTGCATCCTGGAATCCGAGCTCTTCCTACCAAGATGTCTAAAAGCCCAGTGAGCTAGATCCAACATCAGCTGCTGCTCAAGTCATGCCTGTCTGTAGCTCTGTCTGTCTGCACCCTCATAGTGATAGTGCATGTGGACCCCAGACTGACAGACTAATTCCTTCTCCCATGGGCATCAGAGACAGCCTGACTACAGCAGGTACTGTCCCTTACTCCTCACTCACTTGGTACAGAACCTCCCTGCTACTTCTGACACTTATAAAAATGTCCTTGCTCTCTGTCATGTATGTCTGAATTTTCCTCAGACTCCTTGCTATCCTGCTGTCTGTTCATCTGTAGCACCAAGCATTCTCCCAACATCTCTCTTGCCCAACAGTACAATCTGCCACAGTGACTCAACCCCGTCTACAGCTGATGCAACTAAGAACATTTTTAGACAGTTTATAGAGGATAGGACTAAAAAGAAGATCCATAAAAAGTATTGACACTTTTTAAATGATCATTTCCAATTACAGATCAATTGCTTTCAACTAGATACACAAACTAGCCCACTTTGTTACCAGAGTAGTGAGGGTCAAATGCAATATTTTTCCATGTATAGTGCTATTATGTTCCTTAAAGGAAAGTTTTGTTTGTGTACATAATTGTTGGACATTAGATAACAACTTCAAGAGAATAATGCAAACAGGGCAGTATTTAAAATCCAATTCTGCAGAAAGGATCTGTCATGTAGAGATTGGGCAAAGATGGCTGCTGGCATGGTGATTTGTCCCATACAGAGGTTTTAAAATCCTCTCTCTGGTCAGATGAAATTCCTGTTCTTTCCTCCTATAGGTGAGAACTACACCTTCCACAGGTTGTCGTTTCATTGGCCTAGAACAAAAAACAATATCCAGTGAACAGCTGGAGCTTGAGGTCAGCCACTTTTTCTGATCCAGGGCTCAGTCACATGACTCAGTTCTGAGACAAGCAGTTTCAGCCACAACCTCAGGGAAGGGTCTAGTGTATCTTGAAACTCCACTGAAAATACACAGAGCAATCTATTTCTTACACTGTGAGGCCTGGACTGTCAAAACATTCCATTTGGAAAGTGGGTAAAGCTAATCAATA